CTGCTATTGGTGCATTTCGATCCTCATTATTATTCCGACTTTGTGACGCTGTTTCCTCATAGGTCCACATCGTAATTGGGCGGCTGTTGTGCCTTTTGATTGTAGGTATCCATACTTCAGGAATTTCGGTTCCACTATCTCTATTGATGTTATTTGGATGAAGTCTTATATGGATAGCTTCCTTGACCCTTCTTGTGTACCCGTGAGGGTCACGATCAATAAACGTGACTTTGTCCCAAATGGATAAAATGTCCCGTCTCGTTGGTTTGCTCTGAAAGTGCAGAGGTTTGTGTACGGGACATTTACTCATTTGGGACAAAGTCAAGTTTCAACATCTCAAAGTGACTCCATCGTAAGACAAACGTGTGAAATTCATCTGTCCTATATTACATCACAATGAATAATAGACACATCTTTAGTGACAGCTATAATAATATTATTAGTTCTTAAGTTGAAATGTAATTAGTTTTTTTTTTGTTAGTTAGATCTTGAAGAAATACTTTTAACCTAAATTGTTTATTTTACACTGTATTCCTTCTGCTAAATTTAGTTACTTTGGGGCACCTACTCGATTGGTTCCATAAACTATTTAGGTGTCTCAAACTCCACAGAGTCAACCTTGAATTAAAAATATTTGTCTTCCTTTATCTCCTTTTCTTTCTCTCTTTAACACTTTATTTTTTTAATCACAATTGTAAATTATTTCATTAATGCTATTTAGCATCTTCTATACGTAATTTGTANACAGAGTCAACCTTGTATTAAAACTATTTGTCTTCCTTTATCTCCTTTTCTTTCTCTCTTTAACACTTTACTTTTTTAATCACAATTGTAAATTATTTCATTAATGCTATTTAGCATCTTCTATACGTAATTTGTATGATATATTTATATGTATTCTATTCTTTTCCTGACACCTCTGTAAAATTAATCTTTGTGAGAGTTTAAATCAAAATTGAATTGAACTGAATTGAAGTTGCTCACTAGTGACTTGAGAGACACTGTTTCCTGAAGAGCAGACCCTATAATGGAGGAGCTTTGCAAAAGGTCCGGAAGACTTTTCACTTGCAGTGAGGTAATCTTTTCAATGATGAAGTCTTGAATCTGCAATTTATAGAATTTGTAGGGAGAACAATGCCAGATGAGTTTCTGTACTGACATTTCAGCAAATTCCAAAAACAAATAACTGTTCAGAATTTGACTTAAAGCATATCTCGTGATATGATAATGATAATTAAAAATGATATTATAATTATAATAAGAACCTTCCCATCATCTTTTGCAGCTGAAAAATGTGCAGTCATATAACTTCAATTGTCAGTTTGAAGTCCGGAAGAATACCACATTATGAGAAAATATCTCTTTTCATGAAATATGTTATATTTTCCACAAACTTGGTGATGCCGTTATCAGTCACGTGACTATGTCTAAAAGGTCGTTTTATCTCAGTGCGAGGACTCGCAATAAATAATTAGAAAGCACTTCACATATTTGAAAGGGTAATGTTATTTAACAATTATTCGCCGAAGGCGAAGTGATCATTGGTGAATATTCACCAAGGCGAAGTCTAAGGGAATATTCGTCTCAGGGAATATTCAGCAATGTTCACTGAGCCTGAGGCGAATAATTGTTTTAGTAAAATTTTCAAAGGTGAATATCAAGGACTACAGAATAATGGACTAAATTTTGTTTGTTAGACTAAATTGTGCCGTGAGTTGATTTTGCTTTGCCGTGAGTTGATTCTGTTTCGCCTGAGTTGATTTTGTTTTGCCGTGAATTGATTTTGTTTTGCCGTGAATTGATTTTGTTTTGCTGTGAATTGATATTGTTTTGCCATGAATTGATATTGTTTTGCCTGAGTTGATTTTGTTTAGCTTTGAACCTGAGTTGATTCTTTTTTGCCGTGAGTTGATTTTGTTTTGCCATGAATTGATTTTGTTTTGCTGTCAACTGAATTTGTTTTTCCGTGAGTTGACTTAGTTTTGTGTAAATTGATTTTTTTATGCCGTAAATTGATTTTTTTTCCATGTTAAGTTGATTTTGTTTTGCAGTGAATTGCTTTTGTTTTGCAATGGTGAGTTGAATTTGTTTTCCCGCGAGTTGGTTCTGTTTTGCCTCACCGACAGTGAAAAGAGAACGGCAAGTTTCAGGAACCGTGCCTCGCTTCACAGACCTCACTTTTCCCTCGTGAAAAGAAAAGTAAAGTAGACATCTGAACGCAGTCTATGTTTTTGGCAAATCATACAGTTTTGATTTACTCATTTTTGAACGCGATGAACTGACATTCCTTTGTTTAAAGAACTCAAATGTTCATTAGAACACTTCACAATTTAATTAAAATGCTAACATGGTCATTGATATAAAGCAAATTTAGGAGAGGACAGAAAAATAATCAACCAATTAAGTGGTTAAATGCATGTACTAGTTGCATTTTATATTCACAACTGTATAAAATGTTTGAATCTGATTTAAATGCACAGAAAGCATTGACACCCTAAACCACTGCCACCCATCAGCAAATTTTGCTATGGAGGTGGAAAGGAATGCCTCGCTTCCTTTCATCAGTGTTGAACTGTTAAACTTAGCTCCCAGAATCAAGACCAAGGTCTACGTAAAACCAACTAATATGGGCCTCTTACTCCACTACCAGAGCCACGTGGATAATCGGTACAAGCGCAGTCTAATTACCACCATGTTAGATCGAGCTTACTGCATATCTTCCAGCTGGTCGTACTTCTCACAAGAATGCGATCAACTTGAGACCGCATTCTTAAAGCTTAAGTACTCGAGGCACTTATTCAATTTGGCTGTCAAGCAATTCGTCGATTCCAAGGTAGCAGACCAGCAGCACATTCCATCAACCGAAACGACTAACCCACCATCCGAGTTATCATACCATTGAAAGATCAGGCCTCTGCTAATGTAGTGAAGAAACGTCTCACAGACCTCAGCTCAAAAATCAAGACCACAATTCAGCCCGTGTTCATCAACGGAAAA